CTGTGGGGGACATCTGTATATGGAGTCAGGTGCTTTTAACAGTCCGAGCTATCCTGATGTATACCCACCTAATGTGGAGTGTGTATGGACCATCACCAGTTCCCCTGGGAACCGTCTACAACTGTCCTTCATGTAAGCAAATAAGGATGTTACATTAATCTCACAAATGTAGTGGATTCATCAAAACCAGCAATGCTGTACTTTTTGTGATGCAGAATGTTTCAGTTGCAACAAAGTTCAGACTGCAGTAGTGACTACCTAGAGGTTCGTGAAGGACATTCCACTGGTACTCTGGTTGGTCGTTTCTGTGGTGATTCCCTTCCTTCCAACTACACCTCTATAATGGGCCACATTCTTTGGATCAAGTTTGTCTCCGACTCCTCAGTCAGCGGAGCTGGATTTAGAGCAGTATTCTCTCACTGTAAGTCAGAGCGATAGATTACCGTTTTCTTTTTTATGTGGACCCTACTGAAAAGACCAACTAAGACTAGCCTGTATTTCCATTCTATTCCTGAGTGGTTATGTTGGTTAATGCTGGTTTCCTGGGTCTGAATAGTCATTCTGTTCACCAAAAACCTTGGAAGTCTTGCTGGTTAAAACCTCCTGAAGTTAGAAAATCTTACATGGGAATATCTTTACTCTTTTTCTGCATCTTCAGTGTATGGAAATGACATCACGGGCAGCTCGGGACAGATAGCCTCCCCGCTTTACCCACGCACCTACCCAAACAATGCAGACTACCGCTGGACTGTCACAGTGGACTCAGATTCCCACATCCAGATTCAATTCCTGGACATCGACATAGAGGACCTATTCAGTTGTTATTATGACAAGCTCAAGGTCTGCACTCTTGTTTAAAATGCCATAATGGTTTAACAGAAAATAAGTCTATGCAGGCAGGCATATGATGTAGATGAAGTTGAAAATCAATGCTTCCCTTCCCTAGATATATGATGGTCCCAGCACCAGTGCTTTACTTATGGGTGAGTTCTGCGGCCTGACTCTGCCCAACCCAGTAAGAAGTTCAGGCAGCACTATAACGCTTGAATTTAAATCTGACAATGTGATTGGAGGAAAAGGCTTCCTGGTTGAGTGGACTGCTGTTCAGGGCTCCGGTCCTTTGCCAACTATACAGCCAGGTTAGTTCCCTAAGAAATCTGCCTCTCAGATCTTGCTCAAAATCGAAAAACATTGCTGCTTGGTCTCATTTCACAGTCGCTTGCTATTTTTTGTCTTTTCAGGAGCATGTGGAGGAACATTGATGACAGGAGACAATCCCCAGTTCTTATTCTCTCCTGGTTGGCCCGAGCTGTATCAGCATAACCTTGACTGTTCATGGGTGATCCGGTCTCCAAATTCGATCGTTGAGTTTAATCTGCTTTCTCTGGACATGGAAGATGAGGTTTCGTGTCTCCATGACAGTCTATCCATCAGGGATGGTAGGTTTTGTCATATGAAGTGACTTCAACATAAATCCCAACTCAAAACTGACTTTCATGACTTAATATAAGGTATGTTTTTTTTTAAGGTGACACCAACTTGTCTCCACTGATTGCAAAGGTTTGTGGGCGGGAGCTGCCTGGCTCTCTGCACTCTAATGGTGATGCCATGTTCCTTCGATTCACTTCTGATGGCAGCATTAATGGCAGGGGCTTTAATGCCACCTTTTCC